TTCCAAACAATTTTGATCCAGGACCATTGCAATATTTCAGTTTGATAATGTCAATCCCTTCGCCCCCTCCCCCGAGGCCCCACCCTCGCTCTCTCTCTTCCTGTCCCCCCTCCACCCTCTCCCCCTGCCCCCATCCGCTCACCATTCTCCACCCTCCTCCAAGCCCCTCCCTGACCTGCCAAACAGCTGATTAGCAGCTACAGTAGGTGCTACAGTAATACAAACAACTCATTAATGACTGCTCTTTCCAATTCCCTCTCCAGAGGGCGCCAGGTGCGTACTTTGCCCCAGGGACTGGCTGCCGTACAAGGGAAAATGTTACTGGGTGTCTAAAGAAAATAGAATGTGGAACAGTAGCCATGACGACTGCTTAATGAAGAGCTCTCGTTTACTGGTGGCCCGGGACCAGGAGGAGATGGTAAAGTTAATTTTCTTGCAGGATATTGGAGCACTGCTCTGTAATAAACCACTGTGGGAAAATGTAGTTCCAACCCCACCGGTACGCCAGCAGATATTTTGTTTGAAGGTCAGCGGCTCAGAGGGCCAAGATCCCAGGTGCGGTATGTAGGGTTGCCAATTTCTGTAATATTTAAAAACCTTACACTCCTGCAGGAGTGCTGGAACCTCCCTGCCCCACCTCTTCCCCCTGAGGCCCCGCCCCTGCCCCCACCTCTTCCTCTAGGGCCCAACCCCTTCCTCTGAGGCCCCAGCCCCATTCACACCTCTTCCCCCATATCCCCTGTTGCTCGCTACTTTTCCCCTCCCACCCCCCTGCCCGGGTCAGGAGGGACTGGGCTGCAGAGCCGGCGCTGGGAGCTGCAGCCGCCTAACGATGGTAGGAGGCAGCCCCAGTTGAATAGGGGCTGGCATGGATGATGATCCGGTTGCCTCCTTGCCTCCCTAGCTCACAGTAACCAGACTTTGGTTGTTCAGTCGGTAGATCTGACCGGACACTGTAAGATCCCCTTTTCGACCAGATTGTCCAGTCAAAAACCAGGCACCTGGCCACCCTAACAGTATGTTGTGTTGTGTTATGTTGGATTTTTATTGCCCTTGGATTGTCAACACTGAAGCAGACTTCAGAGAATTAAAGCACCATTTATTCACCCAGATGCCTGTCTCGTACACTTTACAGGATTACATACAGACTATCACAACCGAGAAAAATTCTCTTTGGATTGGATTAAACTTTAAATCTCATGAGAGGACGTGGATTTGGGTAGATGGCGCCCCCTTCAATGGAGACCTGTGAGTTTCCTAATGTTTTTACTATTTATGTTTGCAAACAATCTTACTGCCTCATTTACGGATTCAGAAGCCAAAAATGTGACACTTCACCTCCTTTGAAATTATTACCGTATGGGAAAGCCCAAGCATTCAAAACCCCAAGTCAGGTCCCCAAAATGGCGAGATTTGCTTAAAAATCATAAGCTATGTTTTTTTAAAAAATGCATTTAGGGTTCTTTGTCTTCGTCTTTTGGTTTTCAGGGTCATGTTTTCAATAAAAAGGAAGGGTAGAAACTTTGTTTTTTAAAAGGCAAGCTGAGATTCTCCCATAATCACCTGACTCTAAGAGCTGGGACTTAAAGAAAAGCACAAAATAGCATGAGGCTTGCAGTAAAACTGCAAGCGTTCATAGTGCTGCAGAAGGGAAGGTCACAACATGTGTCAATGGATAGGTTTGGGGGTTTGTGTGTATTTCAGATCTCGCGATAACCAGAGAGCCAAGTTCAACATAACTAGATGTTCGGGTGAGAGCAAGGCATCTCTTCTAAAACAGTTTGGTTTGAGTCACACTTGCAGATTCTAGGAATTTCAATTAAAACCCTGGTCATCCGGACCTGAAAGATATCCCTTCCCAGGTGATCAAGGACGGGCGTCTGTGTGCAGCTAACGAGGCCTAGAGTGTACTTGAAAGTTGTAACAGTGTCACTGCATCAGTTAGGGGAGGTGAATTTTTACTGATATAATTACACCATTATAAGCTGTACCATGGACACAGTTAGGTGCCTTAAACCAGGACAGCGTATTCCCATACAGGAGTAGCTATGCCAATATACGCACTTTTATTCCTGTGGGTACATCTACACTTAAAACGCTACCTTCAGTGTAGCCACTACCTACGCCGACAGGAGGGGGTTCTCCCGTCAGCATAGTTAATCCACGTCCCCAAGAGATGGCGGGCAGGTGGACAGAAGAATTGTTTTCTCAACCTAGCGCTGTCTACACCAGGAGTTAGGTCAGGATAGCTACGGCTTTCGGGGGTGTGGATTGTTCACACCGCTGTTAGACCTAGCTCTACTGAGATAAGTCCCTAGTGTAGGCCAGCATTTAGGCTCCTAACTCCCATGGATTTCAGTATTTAAATAGAAGGGATTAGGGCTCTAACTTCCATTGAAATCGGTGATAGTTCGGAGCCTAACTACCTTTGAGGATCTAGGTCTGAGTGACTTGACAAAGGCCATGCAGGGAAATCTGTGGCAGAGGCTAGAACCAAGCGATGATCTCCTGGAGCCCAGCCCAGTGCATTAACAATAAGGCCAGCCTTCCCTTTGAAATGGGGGAGAAAAGGAAGCGACAGCTTCCTGCCCCATGGCACCGCTACAGACCCAACTCCCTGCGAAGTCTAAACACATGGGCAATGATTGGTTCTTTGATTCCGCAGTGCAGGGAGACCCGGTGGAAGGGACTGCGGGGTGTTAAAAAGAAAGCGGATTGCGTCGGAAACCTGCAGCGCTGAATTAAAATGGATCTGCCAGAAAGACGCGCTCCTGATCTAAGCAAGGCCGTTGCAGAACTGACAGAGAAAAAGCCTTCCGTCTGGGTCTGTCCCATGAAGATTATTGTAAAGGCTATGTAGCTTCCTTTGTTCCACTGTTTAATGCCTCTGGGGCCGGATCCCAGCTGATGTAAATTGGCGTGGCCTCGTTGGCAGAGCTGTGGGGCAGTTTACACGAGATGGGGACGCTGCTGACACTGAGGCGGCCCCTGATGGTTGATTCACTGCTCTGGCTGCATGTTCTCATGCACTGCCCTTTCCCCACCCCGCTTCTCTCTCTCGCTGAGATTCGTGGTGGGGACTGGAACCTGCCACCGACCGGGGTTGTTTAAGCACGGTGCTCACTAATCGCCTCTGAGCAGGTTTAGGTGGTATTCCGCGTACTGTAGTAGGAAGAGGCCCTGAAACATAAGCCCATGCATCAGAGGTCTGGTATGAGGCCTGAGGCCTGGGCTAAAGTGGTCAAAACTTTGCTAACATGAAGCAAAATCAGGTTTTAAGCAAGAAGCAGGCCCTGCTCACAGAATTTGGCAAGCACAGAGCACTCACGCAAACACATTCCAGGGTGGTACCAGAACACCTCGATACCAGCACATTGCCTGCAGGTAACAGGAACACACTGACAAAGTCAGATAACAACATGATGAACCGAGATGTTTTGATCAAACCAACACCGGGTGGATATGGCAGTGGGTGGCACCCGGATACATCAGAAGTGATACGTAACTTGTTTGTATCTGTGTTTAAAGATGTATGTCAGAGACTGTCTTTGTCCAGTCTAGGGGATAGCGGAAAGTCCCACCTCTAGCTGAGCCAGTCCATCGCAACGGGCATACATGTGTTAGGGTACCTGTAATGGCTGAGCCAGGGCATTAGGACTGTGCTTTATTGACAATAAACCTGACCAAGTGCCTTCGCATCTTAATGGATTTTGTGGTCATTGAGCGGTTCGCTCGAGGTCGGCTGTACCAGCTGTCTGCGCAGAGCTGGGATGGCACACAGGGAGAACACACGCATGCCGCCAAACATCTAACCCAACCACACACCTACGATGGTGCTCGGTGTCAGTTGTGGATCCCCTCAACCTCCCCATCGTTTTTGGCACTCACCCTCTTCAGGTGCGTTTAACTCCAGACACCGATCCTGCATCCCTTTAAAAAAATAGATTGTCTGAAAAGTCTCCCGTCACCACCCACGTGTTTCGCCGCGTCAGCTCAGTTCGATGGTCTGTCCAGCCTGGGATCCTCTCTCTGACAGCAGGCACTGCCCCAGAAGAAGGACTAAATCTCCTATAGGAACGGTTATTCCAAACTGTTCCATTCTGGGGGACGTTTCTCTCTAGCCCCAACAGCTTGGGGAAGCTGTGAACTCTGAAGCAGGAGGGTTTGGATCCTGTGTAACTTTTTCTAAGCAGCGAAAGTTCCTTGTTGCAGCATCGTCTGCCCAATCTGGTTTCGGTCTAGCTGCTGCCTCAGTTTCCCCTCTCTCCGGTGGAAATCTCCCGACCTTCCAGCCTGGCTTGGTTGTTGCAGGGACCTGGCCCTCCAGCTAAGTCGTAAAAGAAAAGTCCCCCCCATGTCTCCGAGGCCATGAAACACAAAAGAATCTGCTACCCCAGCCTCAAGCTCTCCTCTGTCTTCTTTCCTCTAATTCATCTGCTCATTCACTGAGCAAAGCTCTGAGTCTTTCCCAGACTCTCCCATAGCCCCTCCTGGGGTTCTTAGAGTCTCTACCAAGCACCAATCTCCAGGACTTACTACCTGGAGTCTCCCATCTACTGCTCCGCAAGCTTCTGTCCTCTCTCCACCCCGCGCCGAGCCTGAGACTTTGCTTATTTTCTCCACCTGGGGATGCAAGCTAAGTGTAATAGGTGGGGCTGGGACCCATCTCCACTTAAAGGGCCAGTCATCCTAAGATGGTCCCATTCTCCAGCTAAATGTCCAGTCCTCTTTTGAATCCTGCTGAGCTCATGGCCTCAATAACATCTTGTGGCCATGAGTTCCACAGGATACTTAAGCAGTGTGTCAATAAAAGATTTTTTTCATCTGTTTTAAATGTGCTGCCTTTCCATTTCATTGGCTGCCCTCTTGATTTGATTTATTTTTTATTTGGAATAGATGCCTACGGATCAGCTATGCATTACAAATGAGACAAAGACAGTTTGCATATTCTGTTAGAAGCATTTATTAGACAACAGCAATTGCGGAGGGGGTCACTCAACAAGAAGACGGAGCTGGTTATTCCCTTGAGCGTCACTGTTTATCCATTCCTTCTACACTGTTCTCTTTTCGTTTCCCATATTGATCAGGTTTGGCACAGATCCAGTTCTTTTCCGTCTCACAGCTTGACGAGCTGACGCCTACATCATTCAGATACGCACAGGCTCCTCCTCCCCTTACTTCGAACCTGCAACCAGAAGCCGCGGAGCTAGAATCAGTCCGTAGCCAAGGCTTATCGGTCACACCCACAGAGAGGCATAAACTTGCAAGGATTTTGTTAAACTGGGGGCAGCCCCCTGCGTGGATGGATGCTGTTATTCCAGTTAAAGAGTGTTTTATTTTGGTTTAGCTTATACCAATTCTGACTGATGCTAAACTGAAAGAAGAATGTCCACACTGCCTTACCTAAACTGGTTTAAAGTCACACTTTGAATTTAACTCTGTATGCCAACCAGCCCAGAGAGAGACAGTGGAATTCCCCACACCAAAGCAGAGTCCTAGAGGAAGTGTCTAACCTGTTCTTAAAAACCTTCAGTGACAGGGATTTCACAACCTTCAGTAACCTGTTCCAGGGCTTAACTACCCTGTCAGGAACAGTCTAGGTGCAGGGGACTGGACTAGATAACCTCTTTTGAGGCCTAATATTGCCTAAGGAGCAGCAGAATGTGGGATACGATTGCGCTAGGTGCTGTACAGCACAGAGTCACTGACGTGTCCTGTCTCAGAGCGCTGACACTCGATGTAGACCTGACAGACACAGGGTGGGGGAAGATGTGGAACACACAGGCAGCGTGAACAATCAGATGGGGGCAAAGGACATGTTAGTGCCACGATTTTTATTTATATTATTTGGTGGGTTAGTTAGGAGGGGCTCAGCTAAGAGGGAAGGGGGGAGGGAGACAGGGCAGAGCAGAAGAAGGGCCGGGGTGGCGTGATGTGCCTGTGAGTACGTCTACACTGCAAATCAAGATGTCACTGTAACACCAGTGGGCATACCTGCACTAACCTTAATCTAGCTAGCACGGGTAACAATCGCAGTGCCCAGGTGGCAGCCTGGACGTCAGTGCGGGCTAGCCATGGGAGCACATAGCCCGGATGCCGGGTGTGCGTGCACTCAGGTTGCTTGCCCGTGCTGCCATACCTATCCCACACCACAATAACACCTTCATCTGGAGCGGAGCCAGACCCTGCGACAGAGCGGGGTAGAGAGAGGGGTTGGAGCAAACTATCAGAGATGAAATCCTGGATGCACTGGGCCAGAGAGGCAAGTAAGGCTGCCAGCATGGTTTTGCTTTTCTACCCTAACCTAAAGACCTAAAATACTGTATTCCTGTTAACTAAAACACGTTGGCTTTCTCTGCACACAGCTGCTGGCTGCATCGCTCCCTCAAGGGGTGAAGTCTTTAAGCAGGGGCTCGTGCTGTTTTGGACCCAGCTAAACGAGCTACAGTGAAAAAAACAGGGTGCTGATGCCAGTTTCAGGAGAGTGGGGCCACGGGGTTCACCCCCGTAACAAACTAAACCCACAGGAGGTAGAAATACCGATTTTTCACTGGTTTTGACCCATGTACGTTTGTCCGGTTGATCTCTGTTGTTGATCTCTCTGCACTCAGCACTTCTAACGCCGGTGACTTAATATGGAGAAATGTTATAGCTGGAAACAAACTCACCGGTTGTCAAATTCGGTGCCGTTGGGCCACTTCCATGACTGGCTGGGCTCCCTTCTGAGGCCGACCCAATGGTAAACGGTGCCTTTGTACCGCAGAAGGAACGTCTTCAAAACAAACAAAGGAAAAGCTTCTGTCTTTTTGTTTATTTATAAGCATTTCCATAGTGCTCGTCCCCTGAGCACTAGCCGCAGTGAGCACCTCTGGGACTCTCCCTTCTCTGTTCAGTTCTAGCTTCTGCTGCACACAAGGCTGAGCAACACCCAGTCTTAATGCTTGCCCAGAATTGAAGCTTTTAAAAAAAAAAAAAAAACCACTGAGCTTCCCAAGCCCACTCCTCTCCTCCGGCTCATAGGAGGACGGACAGATGCTGCTTTATGTTCTGGGCTGTTGTGCCGTTTAGGTTTGTGCTGCGCCGCTGGACACCCCAGCTACATGAAAACCTAAGACAGACCCCAGAGACAGTTATCGATCTCAGGGCTTTAGCTGAAGTTCTGCTTTACAGGTGTTTGGGGAATTCTTGTACATTGTGGGTGTCGGAGCATGTCTTGTGGCAGATATCGCAACCCCCTGCAGTAACTTTGGGGACCACTCTGTTGCATTATGAATGGTTTACGTTTGATGCCCGCCCATCATGTCTACCAGCCTCGACAGAATCTATAATGTGGGGGAAAAAACAGCAGTGGGAGTGGAGGGCATTTTAAAAAAGAACAACTTTTTAGGCCACCTTCCTCTATTGTCACAAAGCAAAATAGGGTGCAAGCCCCAGTGTCTTTGCTTTAGGGGGATTGTGATGGGCTGGACGAGGCCCAAAGGCCCCCTGCTGGAGACCTCAGGCTCTGCCATGCCCATCCCAAGAAAGGAGCAGCGGAGAGGCCCTACAAGCAGGCTAGAGTGGCTGCAGGGGAAGCAGCCAATCAAGCCCCAGGAGGGCCATATAAAAGGAGCTGCAGAGCAGACCAGCAGTTAGTTGTTGCTGGAAGCTGGAAAAGAAGTGACTGCATCCCTGGCTGGCTGCTAGAACGGAGCCAAAGACAGTTGGCTCACAGAGCCTGGGGGAGCGATGAAGGAGCTCCCAGCTGGCTGCGGACACTGAGTAGGGACTGAGCCGGTAGAGAGCTGTAAGATAGTGTCTCCGGGGAGGAAATCCTGGGGATACAGCCCCATAGCAGGGCTGGACTGGTTTAAAGGACACAGACACACCCAACCAGAGGGGGCGCTCGCAAGAGGTGGGTGCCAACTCTGTTACGGGGATATTGGAGGGAAAGCACGTTGCTCTGTGTAGTGGCTGGGGGTGCTGGAAAACAAGGCTTGTAAAGGGGAACAGCTTGCTCTCTACAATGCCCAAGAGCCGGGCAAAATCAGGCCGTCTCTTCAGCCAGCCTCTCCTCCCGTTCGCCCATCCATACAGAACCGCTGGCTGTGCTGAGCTGGGCGGGGAATGAAACCCCTTCCATCTCCAGGAGATGAGCAGGGCTGGAGCTGTGGTTCCCCACTGAATTCCTGCCATGCGGCGCTCAGAGAAAGAGCCGGGGCAGGCTGCCAATGAGCA